TAACAGTTTAGTTCTTAGTTTTTCCCTTTTGCTTAAGACATTCATAAAGAAATTTGTCTACTTACTTTGTTAGATAACAATTTATTGTCAATAGAAAATAAGAAGACAGTCATTTATCCCATTCTCAAACGGCTACCCCACACTCAAACACTTGGAAGTTTATTCTCAATGGAAGGTCTATATTTTATTACATATGTGACATAATATATATTAAATTGAAAATAAGCTATTTTGATAGATATAAGATCCTAAATGGTTCCTAACAGTTACATTTTTACTAGAATTTAACTTCTAATCTAGAAGCCTCTCTTTAAATTTCTCCATACTCCCTCATCTAAAGGTGTGTCTTTTAATCAACAACTTAAGTCCTCTACAAAATAGTAGCCATGTAATTCTAAATATAGACAAATGCCCCAAAAAAAAAAGTAATTTCTTTGGAATAAGAAATGAAATGCCCATTGATTTCAAATGGCAATAAGCAAATTATTATACAGCCTCATACCCAGCTCATTTAACAAAGATTAATGGAGTACATATTGCATGACCATCATGCAAGATGCAAAACTACAGCAGTCAGCTTATAATTCAGAACACAAACCTTTAAATATATTTTCTCTAGTTTGGATTATAAAAGTTTTAGAAATGTAGCCATGTGTTTTCTTAAGAAGTGGTAGCAACTCTTTGGGAATTGCAAACATGGAATGAAGACCCTCCATTGAGAATAAAGAGGGCAGAAAAACCAAAATGTCTTTTCCTTCTTGTCTCCTAAGTCCTAACAATTCCCTAGTCTCTGAACAAAAAAAAAAAAAAAAAGTTGGGGTCTGAAGGTAGCAAAAGGAGAAAATAAAATTTTTTGCAGGTATATTTGCTAAAATATAATGAATAGAAAGCCAGATTCTCTCCACTTTATAAAACTTTCAAATCCTGGGTACCACAGGGGAAAATATTTTTAGATCAAGAAGCCATTACTTAATTAAAATCTTTCATTGCTAAGATTGACACCTTACATGGTTTCTTCTAAATATTGAACACTTTCCCTGAAAAAGCAGTTAATAGTGACAACAAAGACCAATTAAACTTATTCTTGCAAGATATTTATCAGGTCACTGATGAATAAACTCTGACCTAAATATACACCACAATGTTTTGTTATTGATTACATTCTCTGATTGTTGTTAATCATTTATGTAAATGTAAAACCATAATCATCTTAAAGGATATAAAGAATAAGAAGCATATTGCATTATTCTGGATTAACAAAGACTGTATATTAAACCAGTTATGATCACCAGATGTTCTATTCAGGCCTCTGGTCAGACACTGTCCCCTCTAGAATCTTCCCATGACATCACTGATGTGAAGGTGATGTTCTTCCTATGCTCTGCAACAGCAAATTTCACTAATTTTCATAGCAGAATTTGCCACTTATATTGTCCATGCACATACATTGGCTTGTCTTCCCTTTAAATCCTTGAGAATAGGGGTTGGCCATGTTGGTCACTAAATCTGAGTGTCAGAACAACATCTAGCATATAGAAAGTATTCTATCATAATCTGTTGAATGGATGAGTTCCACTTCAATGCCAAAAGGATAGCATTATACACTTTGGGATATATTAACTTTGGGGACATATGAAAACCATACATTTTTCTCTCATAAAAGAACCACAAATATAAATCACATATTTTGTAATTTTCCA